CCTGGTTTCCCACAGGGAATATGTACATTATAATAGAAGGCTTCCAGAGATGGGCCACCTGCTACCCATCTTTGCTTTCTAACCAGGACCTGGTGATGGAAACTTCAGCGAGGCCCAAGGGAAGGGCAGAGGCTGCAAACTGCCCCTTAAAGCATCTACCTGGGGTTGCCCTAACTTAAGACCAAACAATCAATCCATCTTCTTTCAGAAACAGCATAGTGACTTCCTAATAAACAAAATTTGAACAGAGCCAAAGGTACACCTGATTCCCTGGAGTAGCAGTACCCTGGAGCAGCACTGACAGCATAAGCTGGAGACAGTGTGGTTTCTTTTGCTCAAACACATGGCATTCGCCAAAATGGGAACATCTCACATCTTCACCTGTCTATGGAAAACAAGAGACAGAACAGCACATTTAAGATTTGGAACCGCTAGGGATCCTGTTCTATCTGGTCGAGAGTATGGCTTTTGATTTGGGGTCCATGTACTTCACTGATGAAGAAAAGAGACGGATACAAATCCCTGTAGAACAGGATGCATTGTGCTAAATGGACACAAAAGATACATGCTGGGGGAGCATGGGTAGGAGGATGGGAGAGGGGCTCGTTCTGACCGAAGAGGAGTGGAGGGAAGTCAGGGAAGGTTTCTCAGAATAGAAGCTACTTAGATACAGGATAAGAAACATTTTGATGGAGAGAGAAAGAAGGGATTTGGGGGAGCTGGGGGTGAGAGCCTCAGGGGCAGGCACTTAATGGGCCATGGGAGAATGCCGTGGGTGGTGAGGCTGGGCTGGGGTCACACTGTAGTGCCCTGGGTGCTGGCCTGCTTGAGGAATCCAACTCAAGTGGTTCATGACAGATGGGTGGGTCAGAGGCAGACTCCGGACAGCCCTGTAAAGCCCAAGGGAGTGGCAGTTACACAGGTGAATATGTTTGTAAAAGGCTCTGAGCTGTATACTTAAGGCTTGTGAATTTTACTATATGTAAACAATAGGTCAAAAAGGGTCTTAAAAGAACAAAAGTCCAAGGGAACCCATGTCCCCTCGTCCTAGAGCATGGGGGATGAGAAGAGTTAGGAGAGGGCAGATACACAAGAAAATCCTTCTCTTTGGGGTCTTGTCCTTACCTTGTAGCCAGGGCCCCCAACCCCAGGGTCCTTCCTCTAAGAAACTCTTCCAATGCGTGGTGACAAGGCAGTGGTCCTAGACTGGGGGATGTCAGTGCTGAAGGGCACTGCAGGAGAGCTGCCTCTTTCATTTTACATAGAAGGAAACCAAGGACCAAAGGGCCTGTTGCTTCGTTCAGGGTTCCGTGGCTAGTTTAGAAGACGACCTCGGTTTGCACCCTAATCCACATTTCAATTCAAGTCTTTTTCTCCACACCACTGCTGCCAATAGCCATTAGGAAATGTGAATGGTTTACAGAATTCTGAAGCTGTTAAAAATCAAATCAAATGTTAGAAGATAATGGAGTAATGTGGGTAAATGTCCATGGCATGCTAAGGGTTAAAGCAGGTTACTAAATGCTGCCTACGCCACTGATTTTATTGGGGGAAGGTATATGCAGCAGAAAAAACCCCACAGGGACGATGACCAAAGTACTAATGGTATGTTTCTCTGAGAAGGAGATTTATAGGTGACTTTTGTGTGCTTCACTTTATTTTCCATTTCAAAAAAATAAAAGAATATACATTCAATTTTTTCTTCAGGAAAAAAAAATGGAGATCTGTATCATCATCTAGATTTTCTCATAATTCTGATATGAGCTTCTAGTCTGCTTGTTTCACTGAAAGCAAACACCTCCTGAGAACAACAGAAAAAAGAATCACTAGGTAAATATTGATCTGTTGCTAAGTGAACAAGAGACACATCATCCCATCTAAGACAAGTTTTCCTCTTTGAAATGAATTGAAAGATTCATTTCTAATGTATCTCTGGATAGATGATCTCAAAACAGACTTAGAAACTGACTTTAAAGCTGAAAGGAGGGAAAAAATCCCTCTTCTCCTAACATGTTTTCAGTGTTCACCTTACACCAACTTTTTTTCTATACGAGAACAGCAAGAGGTTATGTTCTGATTCCGCACATAAACTGTAATAACCGGCCGATTGCAGTCTGGGTTGCTGAGTAACACATCAGCTTGTTGTAAAGCTATTAACTGAAATTTCTAGCCTAGATGATTGTTTATGAAGGTGGCAGATAGGCTTCCTCTAGGAAAAAAAAATCTTCAAAGTCCCAGGAGAAGCACTTTTATCCCTAACAGATGTGTTTCCTGCCCCCAGCTTCAGATATATGGGAGGCTGTTACAGATCTCTGCCACCCAGAGAAAGAACATCAAGGACAGTGGCTTCCGACAGAGTGATTAAAATAGAACAAGGGTCCTACAGGAATCGGAAGGCCACTCTGGCGCCAGTCCTGCTAAGGACTCATCGTGGGCTGGCCCCTTACTGCTCTCTGCCCCACGTCTCTCACCTGCACCCTGAGAAAGGTCTCTGTCCCCCTCCCTGTGGAAAAGATGGAAGTCAGCTCGGGGGTCAGACTTGAGTTCAGTCTCCCTTTCTGATACATCCTCAAAATGAGAGGAAAAATGAATCCAACCTCAAAGTTGTTAAGAGGACTCAACGGCATAACACTTCTGAGAGATAACTCAAAATTTTAAATGCGGTGATGTGCAAGAGTCACAGGAAAACATTTTGGTGATAACGTGACATGAATGCAGGATAGTTTTTCCCCCAATTAGAATCTAAATTAAAAAAAAGAGAAGTTAGTTAAAAGATGGATGGGGAAAAAGTGAATCCTTTTGCCCTTTAATAATCGTTTGTCACAATCAAGTCAGAAAACTTGGGTGTTGGCATTTAGCTGCTTAAGCACGTTACAGCGCACTCTATGAGGGCTGGTCCTCTGCTTGACGGGACAGGTCTTGGAATTACATAGTTTATGGGGGATCTGTCCCTTCACAGCCACCTTCAAACCATGGCTGAGTCCTAAACATGCCTCAGCTCTGCCTTTAGCCTAGGCTGACTTCCACCCTCCCTAATTTGGGTTTCACTAGGAAGGGGGGTGGCAACTGGTTAATGTAGGGACTGAGGGGTTGGCCAGAGCCATGGGGTCCCAAGGAGACTCTGCAACCAAGGACGCACTTCCATACCAGGAGGGTGGGTGGGGACCATTGCAACAGAGGTCATGTAGTGTCAGGCCAGTGCCATAGGCTCATCAAGAAAGTGTGCCAGGAAGGGGAAAAGGCAAAGAGAAACTATCAGACTTATGTTTCTGGGTTATATTTCAAAGGAAAAGAAGAGGTTAAAAAAAAAAAACCTGCCAAAATCAGCTTTTTTTTTTCCTAACACTTTGTACAATTAGTATAGAATCAAATCTTGTGTGACATTTTTCCAGAGTCTGGACAGGAGCAGTCTCCCCAGGGCTTCCTCTAATTATTCAGGAACCAATGCTGGCTGGAAACTTGTATTCATCTGTCTGTAATCTTGTAGGGCTTTTAATGCCTTGGTTTTCAAAAGCTCTCTATGAGAGAAGACCCAGGATCTGGGTCTAGCAGGGTCCCCCTCAATCTGAAAGTAGCTGCAAAGGTTCCTTGCCAGTCCAGATGAGTGAGTGAATTATCTAAATTAAGTACTGAAGAAAAATGCTGGACAATTTTGAAAACATACAGATTCTGTGCAGACTCTTTAGGGAGGAGATTTTCACTGCAAACATGCTTAATAAGAAGACCATGCGCTTGTTTGATGACTGTGGAACCTACTGTAATGTAAAGTCCCCTCAGCAGGGGCGGCTCCAAACCCAATATGATGACACTTCTACTGTACATGGTGTTAGGCAATGTGATTGAGTTATATCTCTCTCAACTCGACAGTCACTTTTTGGGGGGTCATGGCATTATTGTTACAACTATAAGCAAACTGTACACAAACACCCCAAACACCCACAGTCCACTGCTCTTCATCCTTGGCTAACTGCATGTAAAAATTAACTTGACAACCAAATAGGGCAAAGCAAGAGCCCAAACTCTCAGATGCCTGTGCCGCCTGTTTGCTCTTAGAAGAAAATCATTCACCCAAAAGAGGGGGTGAGAGGTTATACCGGGATAGAGGGAAGTGCTTCTGCTACTGTCCACCGGGTATTAGAAACCCTGTTAGGTGCTCAGGGGACACAGTTTGGATAAGAAAGCTCTCTGAGCAGCTTCTGTCTGTAAAGGCAGACCTAGCAGAAGGAAATAAGCTTGAAGAGGCACAAGCGAGGTGAAGGAGCAATGATGAGAAAGGAGGAATGAAGTCAGACCCGGGAGAGCATGGAGTGCTTCAAGTGAGAGGCTCGGCCCCAGCCCTGAAGGAAGACGAAGTTATTCAGGAGACGTCAATGGGGGAACATTTCACAACGCTTCTCCTGAAAACAGTATGTGTCCGTGGAATGCAGATTTCCTTTGTTTTACAATGATGGTTTCCTCTATCAGAAGCAGTGCTCGCACCTGCCACCTCCAAAATATAGACCTGGGGCTCCTGCAGGGAAATCTGGTTCACTCGGAATGAAAACATTCTCCTTAAGTGGGGTTCTCTGAGCTAATGTTCAGTGTAGCTTTCAATAAGGCAGATGGCGAGTACCCCACGGATAAGCCTGTGCTTTTTTTAACTTATTATTTTGGGTCAGGAGGGTTTCTTTATCTTAGAATTGGCAACAGAGCATTTGCTAAAGGGCTAGAATACTGTCCGAATTTTCTGTCTACCTAAAAAGGACTACTGTTTTCTGCAAAGTCCTTGTCACAGATGATGACACCACACCGTGGAGAAAGGGACGTTTCCAGGCAACAAAGATCTGATTCTGTCTCCTACCTGCCAGGATTCAAACGCCAGACTCCTATTGAGACTGTGGCTATTTTCACACCAATGACACCACTTTACACAGATGCCTTGAGGACACCTTGTGAGAAGGTTCTTCTTTGAACACTGCACAGGTCAAACAGATCAGGAGGTGGGTTTGAGGTCTACTCACTCTTTGGTCAGAAGAGGACAGGACTTGAGCAGAAAGCGCGAGAGCCCCGAGTCCTGGAAGTAGAGGTCAGGCGGGGCTGTGGGGCTCTTCAGATTCAAACACCGGACGATCACGTACAGCACAGCGGCCACAGCGGCCAGCTTCACCCCGTCAAACACGGCCGGGAGCTCGGGGGTCTCCAGCATGGCATTCATCTTGATCTAGGGAGCAGGGGTACACGTCTAGGTTTAGCAGCACATGGGGAGGGGAAGAGCCCATCACACTAAGAGACAAAGCCCATGATGGCATGTCATGCTCCAGATGTGTCCACAGAAGCCACCCAGGCAGATTCCCATTGGCGCCTTAGAGCCGCCAACAAACTGGCAACAGCCCAAATCACAAATGGTGCTGGGCATTGATAAACTGGGCTAAGTGTTATTTTTTTAATCTTATGAACATTTATTTCTAAGATAAGCAAACTGGAAAATACTGAGAATAGTGTTGTGCTAAAAGCAGGAGAAAGAAGTCCAGTCAGAGAGGTACGAGTGGGACCGGGAGGGCCTGCTTTTATTTCCGTTAACAGACAGCCTCGAATCTCTGTAGACTTAACCTGCACCTGGTGCACCAGGTGTGCGTGAGGTGTTGGGTTGACAGCCTCCGACAGAGACGTGAGGTGGGGCTGCTGTTGCCACGAGGTATGGCTGTACTGCCTGCTGGCCCCACCTCTGTTTTCAGAGCTGGAAGGGCCTGACTCAGCCATCTGCCCCCATGGAGGCAGCTCTGGTGCTGGAGTCAAGTTCAGACTCAGGCCAGGTCCCAGTGGTCCTTGCTCCTGAGGGTGAAATGGAATTTGGCCAATTTTTTCCCCCACTGAAGGCACCTGACTGTAGCCATTAGTCCAAAATTGGACTAAAAGTGAACCAAATTCAACTGCTAGACCAAAAGTAAAAACTGGAGTACAGAAAATGTATATGCATATCTGGATTTTCATTCTTTTAGGTAGCTTTATCTTGTACACAAAACACACACACACCCACCCCCAAACCCCACCAAACATATACAAGCAAATGTCGACAAGTAACAAAAATCCAGTCTTTTCCTTGCTGCACGGCAGAAAAACAGAACATCAGCTGTTACCCTAGAAGTCAGGGAAACCACAAGCTAACAAAAAGGAGAAAATGGTAACTCTGGCAGCCACGGTAGCTATGGCAACAGCTTCCCCTGGAATGGTTTCAAGTAGCCTCTGCTAAAAACAGTCAGCACGGGAACTCTGGTGGCCAGCAGTGCAGACAGAACAGACAGGACAAAGCAGTCTCTCAAAAACGTGTTTGGGGCATAACCACATGAACTCCCTTAAGACCTACAGCCAGGCCAGGGAGGTCTCAGAAGCCCTTTTCTAAAATCAAGGTGAGTCTGGCAAACACTGGACCCAAAAGCACTGCAGATGACCTTTGGCAGGGGTTCCCAACTCAGTGAGGAAAGGCAATCAGAGATCCCAGTTCCTTAACTCCTCACCCGGGCAAGAAAATAATTTTGAAAAATTTATGTGGCATAATTTAGAATCAAGGCTGCACCTCAGAATATGCTTTTCAGCTGTATGAACCTTTGAACCTTTATTAACTGATGATTTCCTTAAAACTTAACTTCTGGGGACATGTCACCTCACTCCTGGGGCCATGTCCCCCCAAAGCTGGCTATTTATAAACCCCTAAAACAAAGATTTTTAACTTGGGGTCTGTGGGTTCCCTATGGGATCGTGGGGTCCAGGAACCTCCTGAAATCATACATGAAAGGGTGTGTGTATGTACAGTTTTCTGGGGAGAGGATCTGCAGGTTTAGTCAGATTCTCCAAGGGGCCTGTGACCTAAAAAAGTACACAGCACCACACTCAAAGATGCTCCACGGGTTCGACCCGTGGCCCATGTCCTCATCTCTCCAGAGCCCTGCCACCCATGCTTGCAAAACCGATGAGAAACCAATATCCAAGATGACACAGCTTGTTAATAAGGATTCTTAAGTGTAGTGAGGGAAGGGCCCAAACCAAAATCTAGCAGGAATTCCACCTTCTCTGACTTGACGCTGGTGATAAGGAACTGAAATAGACATCGTTCTTGACCCCTTGGTTAACAAAGAGCAGAGGAATGCGCTGGGTGGCTTTACCAGTTTCCGGGCCAGTCTAGAGTAGCCTAATTGAATTAAAAACATAAAGTAAGTCCCTCCCTCCTGACTTGTACTTACTAATGTAAGGGAAGGTGGGGAGAAGAAGCAAAAACCCATGTCTTGGCAATACATACCTGTGTCGCCTGTTCCTCTCCACTGCCAATATGAACTGATCTTGAAGAGCCAGTTGTGTGGCTGGGCCGGTCAGGGCAGATCTCTTCTTGGAATTAATCTAAAAGCTGAAAAGATTGGATGATGATGTTTTTAAGGTTGAGAAGGAAGCAATTTAATGGCAATATAAGCACAGTCTAAGTTTTTCTGCATTTAACATCTTTAGGGAAAAAGACAGTTTCTTTAGTTAACATGTGTGACACACTCTTGGCCGTTTGGAAGGACCTGCTGGGGGAAGCCTTCCTTTGTGAATCCAAGGACCGAGAGGTACTTTGTGGTTTGCACGACGAGTTACCTGCTGCGTTCAGAACTCTGGCCAAAGCACACTGACCCTGCTTTTCCCCTTTATCTCATAACAGAATCTTCAGACATGCCTGACAGGTACCATCTCTGTGTGACCAGTGAAATAGCTCAAGCCAGATTTATGTCAAGACAGCAGGCAGGTGACTTGTTCCATCCCTTCCAAACATACAGCAGTGACAGAAGAAAAACTTGAGCTGAGAAAAGTAAAAGGGCACAGATGGGCTCAAAAACTGTAGTTTCAGAAACAGAAGAGAACTGAAAGTCATGGGTTGGGGAGCCGAATCACCTGCAGGGTCTGGTCCATACAGGGGGCGTCTGGAGGCTGCTCAGTGTGAGACGGGGAACCACAGCCGGGCCCACTGGGCTAAAGATCTATGGCTTCCAAAGGAGCAGAGGAAACAAAAAAGAGAAAGGGGGAGAGAGAGAGAGAGCCAGTGTTCATAGCACTTTCTATGTGCCAAGCTCTGCTCTTTAGACTTTGCATATACGAATGCATTTAGTAGTACCTTTGAGGTAGGTACTATCATCATCCCCATTTTACAGATGAGGAAACTGAGGCATAGAAAACTTGAGTAACTTGCCCAAGGTCACACAGTTAGAAGGCAGAGAAACCAAGATTCATATCAGGCTCCAGGAATCCTCCTATGCTGTGCTACTTGAAAGTAGGAAAAGTAAAAGAGAGAAACAAGAAAGAAAATGGATGGTACAGAAAACCACAAATGAGACATCAAAAGTTTGCTCAAAGTCATACGGCTGTAAAATAGGAGGGTTGGTATGCAAGGCCAATTTTTTTTGATTCCAGCACACCAAAATGATTTAAAAGGAAAATAAAAACCAGTTGAAGAGGAGATTCAATTAACCTTCAGAGTAGCCTTGCTCAACTTCAGTTTTTGATTATTCCTTCCTATTCTGAGACAAATTAGCCACAGAGGACCAGGCTTTGTTGAGGTGGGGACTAAACAGTGATGTATCCAGCCTCATCACAGGCCACTTGACCTTTCCAGGGCTCGGCTGCCAACTAAACAATCAGGGAAGTGCCAGATCAAAGATCTTAGACTGGCAGCCCACAGGGCAGTGTTGTATTTGGCTGGCACTTTAAAAAACTGAATTTATTAGCTTCTAAGTTATAAACACCAGATTTTCAGATAAAAATCTGGATTTCTGGTTTCTCTTGCAAAAAAAAAAAAAATCAGAAGATTTGGCAAGATTTTGCCAGCATTCTCATGTGGCAGCAGGGAATGAAGCTGAGTGGGGCTGCCCCCTCTAGGCAGGCCATGCTCTCTCCAGGTTGCCACAGTCCCCACCACTCCCTATCTTGGTCCTCAACACTGACCCCTGGCCGAATTAAACATTGATGGTACCTGAATGGTCCCCATAGGCACGGAATATGCAACCCCTTGAGAAATCTATCTAAGACTGCCTTGGATAAGTCTGTATTGACTGAAAATTCAAAATACACACTTTCAGTATATGTATAAATGAGAAATTAATAAAAGAAGAATAACAGAAAGGCAGAGTAGCAAATAACAAGATACAGTATGTTTTAATTTACTGACATTTCCACTGGTGTTTATTTACACCTTTATCCTTCCTACAAAGTATTTGAGATAGCTTCCACAAAATGCTGAACAGACATGCACAGAGAGATTCAGAAATGCAGCTGACTGCTGATGGTTCTCAGGAAGGAATCTCTCCTTTCTTCACAATAGAAACCTGGAAAATGTGCCTACTTGGAAAAAAACCTACAGATCCCAGGCTTCCTTGCAGGAAGGCGAGTCTGTGTGAGTAAATGTGGGCTAATTCTAGAAGGGCTTTCTGGGGAGATGCCTTAAAAGGTAGGGAGTTAACTTTTCTTCTGCCCTTTTGCCTGGAATGCAGGCAACACGGCTGCAACTCTGACAGCCATCTGGGCCATGAAGTGACCTTGAAGTCACTTGAGGAGCCACATTAGGAGGACAGCAGAAGAGAAAGACAGAGGCCTGGGGTCCCTGGTGATTCCATGGAGCCACCACGTCAGACCTGGACTGCCTGTTTCTTTTATATGAGAGAATGAAACCTTGCACGTTTAAGCCAGTTACTTCCAGACTCCTTTAGTCTGTAATTTCTAATGACACAGAAGGAAGTACTATCTCCCCAGATCTTTATGGATGCTACACTGGCTGGGTTATTATTAGAACATAGGCAATTTTCCTTTTCTTTTCCAAAATTCGTAATGACTACACATATTTTTATTACCAAAAAAGCTTTAAAAGAGCAACTAACAAAATCTAAAAAGAATTTAAGAAACTCTGGACAAGGAAAATCTCTGTGTCAAGATATACAACAATTAAGCATAGGATTTAGCCTAGAATGTATCTGAGATTTCTGACTGCCAGGGGAAAAAGGGAAACCTAGTCAGACCTACGGTTCTCCAAAATGCAGAGCTCACAGGTATTATGTTCTTCTCACCCCGAGAAAGCACAGCAGATACTCGGGGAAAACAGGGCTTTCCTGGCACAGATTTATTGAAAAAAAAACAAAAACCAAAAAACTCTGCAGGCCTTTACACAAGGGGACCTTGAGTGATGTGATAGGCAGTGTCCTCCTACAACTTCTTTTTTAATAGCAAATGCAATAAAGAAATAATTTCAACTCCTGAAAAATGCCAAGGGGTTAAAATTGAATTCAATTCGTAAAGGTAATCCTATGTATGAGAGGTTTCTAAGTATTACGGTCCAAGGTTTGAACTGAAGTCCTGAGGACTGCGGCAGTTCTACTGCATGTCTCTAGGGCCACCTCCCTTGAACTTGAGCAGGCTTAAGGACCTGACGATCTACTGTGTGCCTGGCACTGTGCTAAGCATTGTGTAGAACCACGATTAAGTACGATTCTCATTTTAACTGGGGAGGAAAGAAGTTTATGTTAAGGCTACATATACTTTAGAAACATGGAGACAAGAATAAATAGTCCATGAAAAAATTAACTGGGAAGGACTTATGGAGCAGCTAGAACTAAAACTGGGCCTTAGAGAAGTATGGGATTTAGAAGAGTAGCACATAAGCGTGTGTGTGCGCGCACGTGTGTGTGTGTGTGTGTGTGTGTGTG